GACTGATATGATCGTTCTGTTCAACTTTAAGCTAGGATTTATTACCGTTTTTATCATTATATTGTCACGTGATTTGTTTTACCTTATGTGTAATCACGTGATGAGTAATGTCTTAAGTATCTTTATTGTAATTTGTATATACCAATTCGTATATGCCGAGGAAACGACCCCGATTGAAGGTCATGTATTTTGTGACGTCACCAATTCGTGTGTAGGTACGGCTTAAATTTATTTATGTATTCTGTTCTTCCATGGTTATTCTGCTCTCTTCCAATATTTTGTATGATACGTTCATTCGATCGACTGCCAATGACAATTTGCCATCACCCATGTTTTACTATCATGATCATGTACTGTAGTCTACAGGCACGTTTCGTATACAATATAATCGATATGTATTTTAATGTATACAGACCTATACCACGCTTACCTGTTACGGTTTAAACTTAACTTCTTTCTGCGGTTCTCCATTTTGTTTCTGGTGTGCGCCCTCACAGGTCAATTACAAAATTGGTTAGCGCTCATCGCAAACACAGTCAGCTGGCGCACACGTGATAATAAAATAAATACGATATTTACTATATGGGGGCCGCCATCTGTGGAAAAATCAATGTTTATCAACATAGCGACGACCACCGCCCTTTAAAACTGTGGTGAATAATTTTAACGTTCATAGACATTAACATGTGTTAGCGTTAGTTTGGCGGCACTGTTTGTCATGTACTGTCATAACATTGTTTCTAAACGGTAATTGATACCATAGGCCTGCTACTGCAGTGAACGTTGCGTAACTCAGTATCTATAGGACCAGACCCCGGACCAGTTACAATTCCTATTCACGCGCGGGATTCCTCTAATCATTGGCCGAATTACGGCCATGCATCTGCAAATGCGTTGCAATTTGCCCATTTGTTTTCAGTGAAAACAAAAGAATTACATGTTCCCCCTAAGGTGTGCGAAACCAAATTTCCTGATAAATCAAATCCGTGCTGTGTAGACCATTGCTGTAAAACAGTTTATACTGCGCCAACAAGTTTACATTTCTGGTCTTAAGACGAACGAAAATAATTATAACAGAATGATACAGAACTGTATCGAGGCATCGAATAACGTAAAGATGAGGATAAATTCTCAATGCGAACCTACATTTTGTATTTCGCGCACAGTTGAACATGTCGAATATCTCGAATTTGTTTTCAATAATAATCTACAATTAATGTTTTGAATTCTCTAATACTTAATAAACATGTCTAGCAATGTGATCATACGGTGAAAGTAGGATATAACCGGTTGCACAGGAGAGTTCCATCATAATAATTTTAAAAGATGAATGAACAAATATGCAAATGAAGATCAGTTATCAGACTAATGAAAATATTTGTTTCCAGTAATGTTGATGTTTCTAGGTAAAAAAAAAATAGAATAATTCTAACATAATTTTAGACACGAATTGTGGAAAAATAAAAAAAATAAAAACAATGACAAAATTGTAAAAAAATATTTTATTGATATCATTAAACTTGAATAACGAATGATGTGATATTTGCGTGGCAATCTCTGACGTCATAATGGTAATTCACATATCTCCCGAATAAAATTAATCTGGTCATACAAATAAAAGGACAATTATGACGTCTACAGAAGCATACAATAACGATAAT